TCAAACAAAGCTAACATAATGACAGTTGTACAGTTGTATATTAATATGCCCCCTTAAGGACGTTACTAAATAGGAATATACTGTATTTTCTTTATTACACTATTTCTAACAGAGAGCTTTATACAAAACGGCACTTGCCACCATTCCAGTTTCAGACATGCCAGAGAGGAGGGAAAAAGGGTCAGGGCAGGAACAGTGACAGGGCTGGTCCCCACTGCACAGCCTAGGCTTTGCAGCAAGCAACAGCAACAGCTATCCACACCTGGAAAAGGCATCGCATGATGGGGACGGGATAGGGCACTAGAGAGCAGCTGGAGCTGGAGCTCATCAGAGCTGTGCTGTGAAGAGCACAAGGCTTACAGCAGTGACCTACCCACCTGGAAGGAGAAAACCGTGCCTCCTGGGTTTGCTCTGTTCACAGAAACAGACCTCTGTGCTCATTTTCAACAAAGTTATACCAACCTGAATCATATCGGAATTTCTCCTGCAAGATGCAAGTCTTAAAAACTTTATTTATGGACTAACAACTCAAAACAAAAGACTAATTTCAATTCCTCCCACACAGTCAAGTACCATGAGTTTGCAAGGCGCTAAAACAAAGCTCAGGAAGCCTGCAATGAAGTCCATGTACCAACATATTTTACTGTGCTGACAACTATTGTATTTTCCCATTGCAAAGACAAATTGTTTCATAGCTCATATGAATCTTACTCATATGAATCTTACTCGAGTTCAGCATTTTGCTGATGAAGTTCCTCCTTTAGCTCTGAGTTCTCCTTGAATGCTTCCTGAGCTCTTAGCTCAGTTTGCTTTTTAGAAGTGGTGAGCACACTTAATTCCTCCTCCATCTCCCGAGCTCGGGTTTGCAAGGACAGGAGGAGAGAGGCCTGCCTCGCGTTGCTTTCCTTGTAGCTTTCGGCGTCAGCCTTCAGCTCTTCAAAAGAGGCTTCCTTGGAGACCATTTTGGACCTGAGTTCAAGAAGCTATAAAGGGAGAAAGAGAAAATACATGAAAAGAAAGGAAAATTCTACTGAGCTGAAATATGAGACCACACTAAAAGTTTAAGAATGTGACAAGAAACACGTTTTGGAACAAAAGTGTCAGTCTTGTATTGCTAAGAGAGTGGGTGGACAGAGACAACTTCCTTTTCAAAAACATAGAAAAGGATAATAGAAGATGGTGTTAGTAAAAAAGAAAAAAATCTTGTGTAATATCGCTTTTTCATCTCCTACAGGAAGATAAATATATATTCACAAATTTAGAATTTAAGAAATGCCAAAGTAAAAGTTTTCTGTGCATCTTAACTCACATCCCTTAGACATATGCATTGCAATACAGTTACTAACATCACCCCTCCCATGTTTTTGCCTGCTTCCCCACTCCTCCTAATGCTCGTGCCCAACTGCACACAGAATCTTTGCCCATTGTAAAAATAAAGTGTCCTGCTTTCAGAGGCAACACATTTTTTTCAAGAGTTGTGCTCTAGGCAGTCGCTGGTCAGTATCTGCAAACAGTTATTTTTCAATCTGATAATTCAACCTAATGTAGCTGCATTTACACAGAAAAAAAAGACTTTTCAGGGAGGGTTGGAGAAGATCACTGCCAAATGTCTAGAGTTTGTTCCAAAGATGATGCTACATCTTCCCAAAACTTATGGAGTTCATTTGTTGTTCTTTGCTTCCCTCTTTTTTTTTTTTTTTTTTTTTTTTTTGTTAATTAAAATAACATTTTCCTTTCAACTATTTGCCACCATCTTCTCCAGACAACTCACCTGGATTCAGACATGCCAGGCACATAAATTTCAGTGTTACAATTTTATTTTGTTAAGAGGAACAAATAATTGAAAGTGGAACTTTTGTTATAAGAAGTGCTAACCCATGTTTAAGCTTTGCTTACAGCTCTGTTGTAAGCAGCAGGATGTAATATGAACATTTAGCTCCTAGTTAAAACTAACAGGCAGATAATTAAGCTACATTAACTGCTCTGACGTGTTAAGGCTTTTAAGAGGAGGCAAATATTTTAAAGGAGTAAATATTTAAGACACTAAATGGCTTTGGAGGCCAGAATAAATTCGTGGCTCTGCCAGAGTCTAACCAGGGGGACCAAACAAGGTATTTGGAGTGAAATTCCAAGCAGCTGGTGAGCCATTTGAATGCTTGCTCCCTTGGGAAAGGGAGGTCCTCGCTTTCTTCTCCCTCACTGTGCACTTCTGGCCTCTCCCTTGCACCAGCTCTGCTACCTGACACCTCACCAAAACAATTTAACTCAGTTGATGAAAAAGAATTCACTTTTTATGGAGAAGAGATAGGCAAGGAAGTACAGTTTTCTGAGAATTTAATGAACTTAGCTGGCTCACCACATGGTTCTAATACTAATGTAGAGCAACTCCTTGGAAGAGGCGGGGAAAAAATGAGCTGAACAAGAACTGTCTTGGAATCACATTATGAATCTTTAGATTTCTGTAGCACATCTCCCTTGCTTCCTACAAATGCATGTTTTGCTACTGACCATAATTGGTCAGTTGCTAATAGTCATAGAGATGCATGGTGAAAATGAGTCTTTCCCCTCAATAAAGAGGGATGTTTAGCTAAGTAAGAAAGCCAACATGACTCACCATATGACAGCAAAAAGGCTATCAGTGAGAAGTCAGGTAGACAGCCCTGCCTTCAAGAGCACCTCAGTTTCTCATCAGCTTATGGTGCTTATGGCCCCTCAAAAGGATCTTCCCCATATTCCACCCTTGGCTTTGGGCTGGCCAAAGCAGTCAAACGGCTACAAATTATCACAGGCTGAAAAACTGATCTGGTTAAAACGCAGACTAAAAGGAAAGGCTCCAGTCTTTGGCAGAACGTGTTCCCCAAGCCAGTGGGCTGTACGTACGACTGCAGGGATATTCCTGCCAACACAGGGGACGGGGCAGTGCAGGAAGGGAGACGAGCAGCTGCAGGGACAACAGGGCTGCTTTGTTTGGCAGCCGGAGCAACTTATGGGAGCTTGAAGTGCTCATAACCTTGAATTTCTCTGTGATTCAACTCCCCATCTGCAAAACGGGGTATTTTTTTCTTCTGTCCATTGTCTCTGTGGTCAGTTTCGATAGCAGAAAGAGCGAGAATAATCCCATAGCATGAGTTTTACGGAGCACTCAGCATAACCGGTCTTTGACCTTAACTGGGTCATGAAGGTCTGTATTAACAAGAGCCTGAGCAGCTGCTTTCTTGCCTATTCTTTTGCAAGAAGAACACTGAAAGAATCTATAAATCGCTCAGTTTTGCTGGCAATAAAGCCCTTCAAGATTTCCAATAACACAGAGAACAAATTATTTATGAGAACATTAAGTTTTGTATGACTTTTTAAAAATGATAAGTAAAGCTAAGCTATTGATCTTGTACACCCACTGAAGACCTTTTACAATTTTTACAATATTTTCAGTATCAACTGGCCAAAGTTCAGCTCATCTGACAGACACTCATCTCTGTGCCTTTAATTGAACACTAAATTAACAATTAATTCCCCTATATTACACATTTGTGCTGCTATCCTGTTATCTACAATAAAAGAAATTTAAAAACTGATCAGTGATCCATTATAGAATCAGATTGAGTAAGTCTCATTTAGCTACGTGTGTGTGTGTGCGTCTGTGTATATGTGTGTGTGTATATATATGTAAGAGTGAAAATACAGAAACTCTCAAATTATCTAAACAAATCCAGCTATGCATTATAAATGTTATTTCCCCCTGCTGCCTACCTTACATCTCTCCTAAGAGCTACCATCCCCACAGCACAGACAACAGAAAATGATGTGCATGTGCACTTTAGTACCTTTAGTGAGGTTAAAATGAACCTTATTAGCTCAAGCACACCTTCAGTGGAAATGTAAGCAATGCATATTTTGGGAGCTGTAACTTCATTAAAGAAGAGGGATGAATGAGGATGGACAGATAAAAATGAAATCACCAGCTGTAACAGGATAACAGTGCTCAGAACTTTCACATAGCCACAGTTCTGAAACATTAACTCCCATGTTTCATTGCCAAATAGTGTACTTATGGAATGATATAAAAGAGAGACTCTGGTACCACCAACATTTCAAGTACAGATTCATCAAAAAGCAACAACTTTGGACTTCCTACACACACTCTATCCTCTACAAAGAGTAACCAGAAAGAATCCTCAAGTCTGGAGAAAGATTTGGAGGTATTTGTAAGTGTACCTCTGACTGGGCATACTCATACTTCACCAGAAGTGCTGCAAGTTCGCTCCGAGCGGCGTCGGCTGCGGCCCGATAGCGGTTCATCTGCTCCCGACTGACAGGGCTATCCGAAGGAAAGCAACCGTAAGATTCCTGGGAAGACAGTACAAAAAGAAACCCATCAGACATTGGCTTTTTGGATACTTTTGTTTCAGTGTTTTGAGGGCTTTTTGAGACACCTAGTGCACTAAAAAACCCTCTTTCCACAGTAATAGACCTTATCAAAAAGTACAGAAAACAGTCACTTTCCTACCAGACACCACTTTGATCTGCAAGTTCAGCCACCAGCATTTTTAAGGTGACAGAGTATACAAGCAGAGCCACTTACATGGTTGTTTCATGACTAAATATAAAGTATCCTTTGTGTCAGAGAAAGACTTTTCTATTCCTTACATAAGCCACACAAGCCCATTACCCCTTAAGAAGTGCTGGGGTGCTCTGCTTATCTACGCTCTACTTCAACAGTATGGTTGGGAAAAAACAGCAGAGAATGAAGTACATAACGTAGGTAGTCATGATGTTATCCAAGTCTTCTCTGCCCTGCTTCCAGCTGCTGTTCTTGCCTTTCAGCATTTCCCTTTGGGCAATGGGCTACACCCAACGTGCCGGGACAGCTCCAAACCCCCGCAGTTTTATTCTTTACATGGGTATCTTGCAGCACTTACCACAGAAATTGCAATTGTCTGAAATAACACTGAATTAATTTAACTGATAAAACAGAGAAAGGAGGAAAAGAAAGTAAATGAAGATGCATAACAGCAGCTCCTAGGGTATTTCCAGTGACCTCTTTCCAACAGCAGCCATAAACAGATCCCTGAGTATAAAGCAAGCTTGTACTATGTTCCTCTTGAAACACTCTATAAGCTTCAAATATTTTCATCTCAGGTTATTCCCCATAGTTTCCATGCATGTAGAAACTCTCTTCAAAAAGTTTCTCTTCTATCAACTTATTCTGCTTTTCCTTCAGTCCACGTGAACTTTCATCATCCAAAATGCTGTTTGGTAAGGAAGTCTGCAGGCCCAGCTTTACCTTTTGGACTGCGGCTTTCACTGCTTACATTTCATGACCCCAAATCCTCATGTCAAACACGACGGTGAAGAACCATTCGTCTCCACGCTACTCATCATTTTGAAAATTTCTATTGTCTCTCACCTGAGCTGTGTTTCTACCAAGTTCACAGGCCCAGACCTACCCAGTCACTGCCACTTCTCCTCAAAGCCACTTTCTGCTTGCACAATTGTGCTTTTATGCTTAATCTGCCAGGGTTAAAGGTCCTTTTGAACTGCTTCAGTTAGGCTTAACTTCAGCCTTCCGAGCAGCACTTTCCTGTCCCCAGGAGCTGCCGTACTGACCTCTTTTCGTCCCTTTTCCAGGCCCTCCTGAGACGTGGTGAGCATTAGCGCCGTGCCTCTAGCCCGGTCTCCTTCATGCTGCTGTAAAGCTACAGCTCTTTTAGCTGCACCTTTTAGACTTGTTAAAATAAGCTTTCTCATTTGCACGTCTTTTGTTGTTGTTGTTGTGTTTATAGTAGAGTACAAGTGTGGCGGATTTCTTTGCCTGTGATACCTAAACCTTTCCATATGAAAACTCAAACTTGAGGTCTTCATAGGAACTTTCTGAGACAGACTTTTTTTTCCCCAAAATCAGTAGCATCTACAAAACTATGACACTGATAAACAGTGCTGTTCTGAAGGTAAGCACATGTTGGGAGCAGATGCCTGAAAAGATAGAATATGAGGAGGCTTTTATTTCATTGTGTCTCACATAGTACTAAAGCAGAACTGCCATCCTCATGCCTCTGGTGTGCAGGAACTTCCTGCTGACCAGCAAAGGATTTATTCTCAAATACACACCCTTGGCCAACAAGGCTTGGAGATACAAAATTCATAGCAGAAATCATTCTTGAAAGTCATTCACCACTTTTTAACCAACTACTCTATCTTTGTACGTAATCATGCAGTATTAACACCATGTGGGGGGAAAAACAAATCTGTATTTTGTATAGGTTTGTCTTAAAAGTTAAAATTAATTCCTTATTGTAGTGTGAATTAGATGAAAAGATTATTCTTAGATAATTACCTGAAAAGCAAATCTTATTATGAGATAAGAACTACTTCAGTTCCAAACAGAGTATTATTCTCCTGTAAGAAGTAAGAAAAGCAAGAAACATTTCTGCGGCAGGCAGTCTAGGAAAATTCCATTGCTGAACATTGAAGAGTAATAGAAAAAGTCTTTGAGGGATTTAAGGACTTTAAGAAGTCTTTGAGGGAGCAGCCAAATACACAAAGGGCAGCTAAAACAGACCCCAGCTACATGGATTTGATTTATCAGATGCCTTGGTACCTGTGCAACTGTTTCAGTTCTGGTCAGAGCACATACATGTGTTTATACACATACACATACACACACACACACACTTAATTTGCCTTTAAAAAAAGAATAGGGTGAATTAGTGAGCAACACGGAACAGTTCATAAGAAATATTAAATTAAAAAATAAGCTCTATATTGATTCAGTGGACAATATAACAATGTAAACCTTACAAAAACTACTGGGAGTACAAATAGTCGTCTGCCATGCCCCATCCTCAGTACATGACTATGCATCAGAAAGATTTAAAACAAAAAAAAAATAGAAGAGAGAAGCCCACAGCAAGAGGGAGCAGCGCACACAGCCCCGTGCGAAGGCACCTCAGCCTGTGCCCCCTCTCACACGCTGTTCAGACCTGTGAGTGGAAGCCCAACTGAAGCACAATTTACCAAAGAGAGCAACCTGAGGTCTCAGTGTCAGAACAGCTGGCAGCACAGCTGAGACCAGTCATTTGGGTGGTTTTGCCTACTTTTGCTTTCCAGTAACTCAGAAAGGAAAAAGGAAACAACAACAAAACCCACAGGCCTCCAAGGCCACCCTGCAAGGTTGCTCAGCTGAGGAACCAAGCTGCCCATTGCTACCATTTTCCCAAGCGGAATGATCCGGACCGTAACGAGCGGATCATTTGTAGCTAATGTAGCTCTTAGCTGAGAGCAGACGAGTTCTCACAGCTGAGAGCTGCGAGACCACAGAGCAAGCAGCAGCCTGATGGCGAAACCAGCTTCCCAGGGGCCGCGCCGCGGGGCCTGTGAGAGCCGGACAGCCGGTCAGCACCATTCGCTGGCAGGTACCTGCTGAGCAGGTACAGAGCTGGGTGAGAGGCACCTGCATCCAAGTGACACACACACACACACACAATGATGTCTAGGGCTTGTAAAGCATGGAAATTCCTGGATGGTATTTTAGGCTGCAAAATGAATGCATCTCCAACAAGGCCTTCTCAAGCAGAAATATAAATAAGATGTCTTACTAATAAATAACAGAATAATTAGCAACCCATTTGCCTCCCTCCAGCCCTCAAATACCAAGGCAGCCTTAAGTGAGTGATTAGGCAGCATCGCTAGTAAAAGCTATTTCAATATTTCAACTTCAGATGCTCCAAAGAGGTTTGGAGTTTTTCCCAAGAACTCCCTTCCTCTTTTGCAGCAAGAAGGGTGTAGCTCAGCTGCCTCTCCTTATCTCGGCTGTGGCCACGTGCCACACGTGGAGACGGCCATCAGATGGCTTGATAAGGAAGTGCCAAAATATTCAGGTTTCATTATGCCAGAATCCCTGACTTTAAAAGAGCATCCAGAGTGCGCGGGAGGTTAGCAGAGACTCTTACACATACTACCATAAAACTGCAAGGCGATCTGCTGCCCTTCTGCTTTCATCTACAGCAGCTTCAGCTTCTAGGTTGAGATAAATCAAAAACTTAGCTCCTACCCATTGAAAATTGGAGGGAAAAAAAAAAACACCATACAGTTTTCTAAAGAGATTATCATCTGGTAACATAACTTTTTTTTTTTTTTAATCTCCTGTCAGAAACACAAAAAGACCTGGAAAATAAAGCAAGTTATCTTAATTTGTATAATATGTAAAAAAAAAAAACAAAAAAAAAAATACCCAACACCACAGCCTTTCTGCAGCTCTTTGGTACAAAGACCTAGGCTAGATCCACCCAGTTCAGCCACACTCATCTCCTTCAGAAGCCGCCAGCTGTGCAGACACCACGGAGCAGCTCCTGCTGGGAGCTTCTGAAGAAGATCTTAAAGATGGGCATAAACATACAGCAGGATTTAAGAGCTTTAAATGAAGTCAGGTGCAAAATGTGATCACCAAATTTAATCACCAGAATCACCATTTCATTTGCTTATGATTTTAGTGAGATTTACTACATGAACAGCTCTCTGCATCCTTGAGTGCCTCGGTAAATATGAAGCTAATTACACACTGCAACACCACACTGGAAAACTTGATCTGATTCTAGTATTATCGGCAGTGAACGTGCATATTTTCAAATTTGATAGATTTTTTTTCTTCTGCCTGCAGCTGTTCACAAGTATGGTAATTAAACATACTGGCAACAAAGCATCAAAGCATTTCACCAAGCATGATCCTGCTGCACAAGGAACTCACTAGGCAGATGTGGCACTTCTAAAATTCTGGGAGCATTGAAGTCCGTAATATCTCATCAATACTACTTAGTTTATAGCTGATTACTGTTAAGATAATAAATGAATGAGCGGGAACTGACAGGAGAAGCTTTCAAACATTATTAATCAACCAGTTCTCATGTATTAGTACTCAACCAGTCTGTGTTTCGGGCAAGATGGGCTGCTGGGTGGGGTTGTTTCCCATTTGCTTTACGAAACTTTCTTGATCACTTCCCATTTGCCCACAAGAAAATGGAGCTGGCCATCTCGATTCAAATTCCAAAGAGAAGTAGAACACAGATTTACCGTGTTTATGGGTAACAGCTACTCGTAGCTGCAAGAGCTGTAAAACTCCTCAGAGGCACTCTTTAGCAGATACACTGCTCAACGATGCGAGGTTGCTGCTGTGTCAGGATTTGGGGGTTGGATTTTCTGTTTGCTTTAAAAAAAACAGTAGCAACTTCCACCTACCCGGTAGCCAGCTGATAATTAGCCATCTTCAACCAATTCCAAATCAGCAGAACTTCAGCAACATGTGGTAGTTTTATAGCTCCAGATGTACTTTAAAGACCTCCAACCATTCAGGTCACTTACCCCCATTCTGCTCTTGACAGTTTTTCTTTTATTAATAAAATCCTTTCCTGAGGCTCTACTCTAATTTCAACTCTGGCAGATGCTGCTGCCCCATCGCATCCCTTCCACCCCCAAACCACATATAAAAATCTCTTAAAAAAAAAAAAAATCACTATTTAAAAAGAAAGCCCTCAGAAGAGTAAGCAATGAGCACCGTCCTGTGCTCTGTCCCTCCTGCCCCCAGCAGAGGGTCTGCTCGGAGCCAGCGGTGGTCACCAGGTTGTCGCGTCAGAAACAAACAGCGAGGCACAAACCTTTGCAGACTCTGTTCTTCCCTTGAAGCTACGGAACAAAAAAAGGAGAAAAAAACACAGAAATGGAAAATTAAACTGATTTTGTGATAGGTGGATATTAGGCATTCAGAGATTTTCAGAATCTGACAAGAAGAAAAAAAAAATTGAGCGATCCTTAGTCATAATACTTCTTTCTAATATGAACTAGGTTAATATTCACAGATGCATATACACATTTAAATGGCTTTCATTTCTGAAAATATGATGCATTTTCTTAATACAGGAGGAAGGATGATTATTTTTGTTGCCACAAGAAGGAACACGACATCTAGTATAAAGTATTGGGAAGACTGCACTGTTGAGACATTCCCATACAGAACTATCTGCCTAAGAAATAGTAATGAAGTTTTCAGTCCCCAAATCTGCAATTGCATCTATGGGAGGCTAAGGTGTCCTTTAAATCAATGAGGAGCCATAGAAAATCATTCTGTATGAGCAGAAGTGCTTAAAAAGAGGAGCTTAAACATTGTGTTCTGATTATAACTACTGCAACTGCAGCCAAAAAATTAATATTAGAAGTTTATTGTTCTCTAGAATCTAATTGGTTTAGCTTTGTGATTAAACAACTGAAACATGTTCCACCAAACACGTTTCATTTCAAAAGCCATTTTCAAAATTTGCCTGTATAGACTGATAAAAAAAAGACAAGAAAAATACTTCAGCAATCAGAGAACATCTAATTTCTATTTTGGAAAATAATCTACTACAGAATAAAGAAAAAACACATTTTGGAGTACGTTTTTTTTTTTTTTTTTTCAAATTTCAGAGAAAAACCAAATCTCACATAAATAACTGCAAGTTTCCTGAAAAGTGGGGGGTCTGAGCACTGTTCAGAGATTTGTGAGCGAGTCCCAGGGAAGGAGGCAGGGCAGGTGGGTGGGCAGAACCCACTGTGGCTGCTGCCCATTGGGCTTGGCAGGCTAAACACAGACAAAACCAACTAAGGCTCGCTTTGTTTGGAAGGAAATTTAAAAAAAAAAAAAAAGTTTGAATAAATAAACCAGGCTCTATGTATATTTCAAAACGTTAAATTCTGTATAAGTAGGCTCAGTTAAATTGGCTTTGCCTCAGAGTATTTCAAAACATTTTCATGACCCAACTTTTATTAATTAGCAATTTTAAATTTGACAGGTGACATTTCAAAAGCATTTTAGATTTGTCTATTTCTTTTATATTTTATCAGTTGCCAGAAATGTCTCATTACTCTTGATTCCTTTCCACACTTCTGTTTTCTTCCTACTAACTAGGCCAAATTATTTGCAGTTTTTTGTGTAATTTTGGAGAAAAAAAGTTTTGTTATACACTTGTTATTTCTTTTTTTCTTTAAACATACTAGCGAAGCTTTAAAGAAACATGTGAAACTAAGTAAAGTGTTTTCAATAGCTCAAAGAAATTGCCAAATAAATTTTCTAAATGTTTTTCAGGGGAATGATGCTCAGCTCTCCTTTCTCTTTACAAGAAGAGGAATTAAAGAAATTTAAAACACATTGCCTGTTGTTATTTATTTACTTAAATGGCAAATTTCAAACTTGATTAACAGGCATAAGTGGAAGTTTTGTGGCAATCAAAATTTCAGACTTACCCTCTGCTGTTGTAAGCAGTAGGTAACATGGTTCCGTCTTTCGTTTTCCTTTTTGTCAGGATATGCTGACCTTGCATCTAAATGTAAATAAGTTTAAGGTGATAAAAGACAACAGTTACCAAGAGAATTACAAGGTAATGGTATATCACCTCCTGCAAATACTGCTTAAAACGCCTTTCTCTTGTTTTTATTTTACTTCATCCTTTAGTTGTACAGTTGAATTAAGGATTTGGGGGTCTCCTCCAGATACTCCTCTCACCAATTTGGAAAATGAGTGGTAAGCAAGTGCTGATGCCTTTAATCTCAATAGCAGTAAAAATGGTAATTGCTGAAAATTCTAGTAAGCCAAAATTTAGAAGCAGTAGCATGTAATAGAACTCAGTGCTTATGTGGGGATTAGTGGATTTTTTTTTTGTACAAAGCTTGTTGTTTTACTGGTTTTACTTGATCAATTCTGAAATTAAGTGACTTATGTACAAAAAAAAATAGTTTAAGAGATTTAAAAATATATCATTATACAATACCAACACGCTCACAATTCTTCTCCATGTCTGTCACATTTTACTGCACTTAATAAACAACAGATGCTTTAAACGCAGTTAAATGGGCGTGCACGTGCACCGCTCAGACTAGCTGCCAACCAAGGCTCACAAATTGCAAAGTTTAGGTCCAAGCCCTTGCATTTCACACGGGAGCAGCGGGTCTTGGCATTTCCCACTGTATCTTAGGCCAGTGGAGCCCGAGCATCCCTGGGCAACTCCTTGGAGTGCACATCAAAGCTGGCAGGAGGAAAAGTGCGGAGAGGAATTGCTTAGATAACTAGGAATTCCTGCTATGCAAAGAGATACTCCCTTTCGCCACGCTTAAATAGGAGGAAGGATAAAAGAGCGGGGGGGAAAAAAAAAAAAGAAAAAAAAAACTCTTGACCTTGAATTTGTAAAGATAAGCCGTAAACATGAGCAGAACTTTACCCAACTATAATTGACTGCAGCTGCAGAAGTTTTATATATATATATATTTATAAACAAAGTTTCCTAAGTTTCATATATATATATATATATATATATATA